TTTTCCCATCTCAAATTTTAAAAAGCAACAAAATGCTTCCCTACCATCCTGTTCTTCCTCTGGTTATCATCCTCCCATCTTTCTGTCCCTGAACTTGGTGAGCAGTAGATTACAATGTCTTCTTCCCCTCTAACACTTCAAGCCAATGTTCTCAGGGTCCAGTCCCCAGAAGGCCATTGTAACTGTTCTTGACCATTTCCAGGCAACTCCTATTCCCCTATGCTCAGATATAACATATACATCATAATCCCTGTACTATTTTAAGAGTTTACCAAAACACCGATAGTGAATTGCCAAGTTTTACCAAGACACGATAGTGAATGCCAAGTAATATATATAGTGTCCACCTTAAACTGGTTATCAGTAAGGGCTTACTACGCTGTTGACATTAGGATGAGACCCCTGTTCCCATGGCCAGCCAAAAGGGAGACTCAAGCAGGAAGCAAAAAGAATTGCATAAGGGGCAGTTCGCATAATCAACTTTGGATTTGTCTCACTTGGCTTTTTTTGCTCAAAGTTAGTGCTCTACTACTTGACCCATGCCTCCACTTCCAAGTTTTTGCTGATTAATTAGAGATAAGAGTTTCAGATTTATCTGTCTCGTTTTGAACCATGATCCTCAAATCTCAACTTCCTGGTAGCTAGAATTATAGGTATAAGCTACCAGCATTCAGCTCAAATTTTTTATGATTGTTTATTTGTGTGTGTATGAGTGTGTGTGTAAGCACATGTGCATATGCCAGTCCTAGGGCTTGAACTCAAGACCTGCACACTGTCCCTGAGCTTTTATGCTCAACTATAGTGATCTATCACCTGAGCCACAGCTCTACTTCTGACTTTTTGTTGGTTAACTGGAGGTAAGAGTCTCACAGACTTTCCTGCCCACTCTGGCTTCAAACCATGACCCCCAGATCTCAACCTCCTGAATATCTAGGATTACAGGCATGGTTCACCAGCACCAGGCTCAGGTTTATTTTTTAAATGACTCAAGCAGTATGGCACCTGCCTAGCAAGCACAAAGCTTTGAGTTCAGATCCCAGGACCACCAAAATCAAATGAAAAAAGAAAAAAAATACTAAGGTAATACTGAGGAGAGACTAAACTGTCTTCAGAGGGAAGAGAAAGCTTTAGAGAGACAATACCTTAACTAGATACTCAAGGAAACACAGGAGCTTGTCAGGTAGTGAAGAAGGGGAAAGCCTTCTACACAGAACATACTTTGTACAGATGAGATTAGTAGTAGCAGCATAGGCCATATATAGTGACATAATAATGCCATGTAAGAAACCTGAGGAGGAAGATCCAATTTATATTGGAAAGACCAATGGAATGGACAGGAAAATCAGAGGCCAAAGACCATTTATAATTCACTGAAATTAACCTAGTAGGTAACAGCATCAATTTCTGTTTAAAATGAATTCAAATAGAATAAGAAGTTTCAGAGATTATCTGACACTGTTGTACTGGATACCTATTTGCATACTAGGTAACAAAGTAAAATGTTCTAGCTCCTTGGCTCATACCTATCCAGATCTCAGGAGGCTAAGATCTGAGGGTCACAGTTCTTAGCCAGCAGAGACAGGAAAGCCCATGAGACTCTTATCTCCAGTTAACCAGCAAAAAGCTAGAAGTGGAGCTGTGACTGAAGTATAGAATGCCAGCGGACAGTGCCAAGGACGTGAGGTCAAGTTCTAGTATCAGTACACAAAAAAGTAAAATGTTCCCATGATTAAAAGTCAAAAAATTTTGAGTTAGATGACTGGCAACTGACCCAGTGAGTGAAGAGAGTGAGGGAAAAGTCCAGGAGAACTCCTAAATTTCTGGTATGAGTGCCTGAATGGATTCACAATGACACTACCCAAGGTAAAGAGGAGGAGGGCTATTCTTAAGTGCATGTAGGGATTATGGGTAACTCAGCAGCCTCTCAGCACTTTTCAATAGCTACAGTAAATATTCTCATCTTTTTCAGCAAAGACAATGGACGCACAGTCATCACAGCTGTAAGCTCAGATGAATGCTTTGTGGGAACTGGGGGCTGAGGGGAGGTCCCCAGTCCTAAATACCAATCCACTGTGGAACCAGAAAAATCATCTAGGATAAGTGAAACAGGAATCATCATCCTTGGGAACCCAAGCAAGCTGAAAAGTCTGCCTTCTCTGAATATTTTTATTAGGAGTCAGGTTTTGTTGACTTTTTTTTTTTTTGGCAGAGGCAGGGGGAGGGGCGCAAGGGGGTTATGACTATTTTGTGATTTTTTTTTTTTTTTTTTTGGTCGATCGTGAGGCTTGAACTCTGGGCCTGGGCACTGTTCCTCAGCTCTTCAGCTCAAGGAGTGCTCTAACACTTGAGCCACAGTGTCACTTCTGGTTTTCTGAGTGGTTTATTGGAGATAAGAGTCTCATGGACTTTCCTGCCTGTGCTGGCTTTGAACTGCGATCCTCAGGTCTCAGCCTCCTGAGTAGCTAGGATTACAGGTATGAGCCAACCAGTGCCTGGATTTGTGATTGTTTCTAAGCCTCCTCCTACCTCATAGTTCTACCTCCAAGAAGTATTTCAATCCTTGTATCTAGAGCAAGTCTACCAAGCTTTTGAGTTTGGGATTTGGCCATCCCTAAGACATAGTACTGGAGTTTCATGCTAAAAGAACAGAACTAGAGGAACATAATTTCTCCATAGACTTGAGGCAGCTCTGTGACACTTCCTAATCCTCTCTAGAAGGAAGACTTGTTCAAGTCTTGGAGGATCATATAGCATCAATGGGCCCAAAGTGACCCTTTCTACATCCCTCCACAATCCTGCCCAAAACACTTCAGACAACTGGCTGTCTTCAAAGGCTCCATGCTATGTACAAGTTCTATCTTTTGCTCCTGATAGCTCTAGTGTAATCTGTCTACCTTTTGTCTGAGAGTAATTCAATTCACCCTTCATGGCATACCTCAAATGTTACCTCTACCACAGAGCAACTCTTTAACACACCGCTCAGCCCTGTCACCAAATTCGGATTTAGTTCCACCTCTATGGGTTACCATAGTACCTGCTTGTGCCGTGGGCACAGCATTCCACTACCATCTATTATAGGGATCTGTATTTACATCCATTTTCCAGTCAAGTTGCTTGAAGGTCTAGATCATACCCTAGCCTTCCCTCCCACACAGTACAATCCTGAACACACAGTAGGTCCTCAATTAGAGTTTGTTCATTCTAATCAAAGAGCTACTGATTCAGTCCACTAAAACCTGCAGATCAACAGAACTAAGAAAGAACAGGGTGGAGGGGGGACCCAGATGACATTCCTCCTCTCCTTAACTGGTGGTACATATACTCCACTCCTCTTGAGAAATGTAACCAGCCTCAACAAGGAGGGCTCAGTAGGCATACTTTGGAAACTTGAAAGAACTACAAGTAGTTTCAAGGCTCTCCCAGCTGCTATTAGTCAGGTATTGACCTTGGGATGTGGTCACAGGGATTATATGTTTTATTTTGCCATCCACTCCCTCTACCACTCTGATACCTCTAGCTATATAGGTAATAAAGAGTCTTTCATACAGGCTCTGAATATTATCTTTGAGCTCCTCTGGGAACAGCTTAGCCTTCTCTCAACCCTCCCACCTTTCCAGTGAGTAATTCTACAGTGCCACCTCTGCAGTCCTCAGCTCTTGAAAAAGTAGTTTTCCTCAATATATCCAGTTTTCCTCTCTGCACCCTCCCTTCTTCACAGTGACAACCAAAGGAAGGTAGTATGTATGTCTTTTCAGCTGCCTGACTGAAAGCCACAGCATATTAAGAGAACTAACAGGTAGCACTAGGAAGGGCTTTGATAGCTGCAGCTTCCCCTCTGATCCCATAAACTCGACTTTCATCACTACAGAACTTTGCCATCCAGACTTATAACTGCCCATTTACCCAGCTTATCTCTCTCTAATATTAGGCTAAGCTTCTTGAGGACTATCCCTAGATCCCAGCAAAGTGTTAGAACATAGCGTGCACTCAATAAACTAGTGGCTTAGAAGGAAACAAAACAAAACAAAACAAAAAACCCATAAAATAACTGCCACCTAAGGGCCCTCAGCCAAAGTCAGTGATGATGTGAGTTCAGAAGAAACATTTTAGAGGTGATCAAGACCAAATGTCTTTATATAGTAGTCAGTCCTGTGATGCAAGGCTCAGCCGAAGGCAGCCTCAAACAAGGGATCTTTTGAGAGGGCAGCCATTCCCCACGTTCCTCAGATACTCACTATGGTTAAAGTAGTAAACCTAGTTCTCTTGAATTTACTTTCCCAAGATTGGGCAGTTCAAAAAATACATTCCCCAACCCCCACTTTAACAACTCCTCTATCCCTCTGACCTTTAATACTGTGTAACAGTAGATGAAAAATTGATTTTTTTCTTTTGCTACTTACATCACAGCTGAAGAAAAAATATACTGTCTAAGGTGTTAAATATTTTTACATGCAACAAACCTGGCATGACTCTAACCTGTATGCACATCTTAAGAGGTACAGGAGTAAATGTCAGTGCTATAATTTGTTATAGGTTTCTGATGACCAGCAATGAAAATGACCACGGATTCTCACAATTCAAACCACTTTTACGTAAATGTGAACTTTCCTAAAACAGCCCCAGCAAAGAACTTTCCATCTAAATGCAGAGTCTCTGAGAGATACTGATAGCATTGTTCACTTACTTAGGTGTTTTTTGGAAAAAAACAAAATCTTACAAATATTAGTTTCTTTCTGAGCCTGTGCTTTGACCTTTAATAAAAATATGCTTCAAGACCCCAGTTATTAAAATGAAAGGAACAGTTTTTATGCCTGAACAACTGCCATTTCATATACTGAGCCCTGCAGAAGGCTCTATCTTACAAGTCAACAGGGTTTAAACACACACACACACACACACACACACACACACACACACACACACACACACACACACACACACACACACACACACACACACACACACCATACTTAGCAATCTCACTTAAATTGCTCACTTACCAGACATGAAGCAGGGTTATAAGAAACCATGAATTGAATGTGTCGGGCATCTGACACCCTAGAAAACAACAATAAAGTATAAATATGTGAAGATTTAAAGGCATACTGGCTCTATTTGAAATGCTGGTGAGAATTTGTTCAACTACTATATATGGCAGTAAAATGCTATCTGATGATGCTATCACAAAGAACAAGGGCAACCTAAGGCAAGACCATGGGTAAAAGAACATCAAATATAATCAGATGACCACTCTTCTAGTTCCAGCCTTGTTATCCTAAGACCTTGTGGTCTTGAACAAATCACTTCTCCCCTGAGTCTCAGTTTTCTCATTTTGCATAATGTGGCTTAGATGATCCCAACGGTTCCTTCCAACTTCCATGTCATTCCATGGTATTTTTCCCTTCCTGGGCTTGAGTTTTAAAAACCTAACCAACCTCACCTTGCCTGTTCTTACATGTCAGCTTTTTTTTTCTTTTTCATTTAAACTTTTTCCTATCTTCTTTCTTTAAGATGATCCAATGTGGTATATGTATGGGTATGCTGAATAATTCAAAAGTTGACTAGGAGGAAAAAGTTGGAGCTGCAGCTAAAGAAGAAAGCAGACTACCCAATGAATGCCCATTCATCACCCCCAGTAATGACAAAACCTGGCAGCACTTCTTCATTTCAGATCCCACAAAAGTTCAAGAGGATGAAGAAAAAGAAAATGAGCAGGAAATTTGGTATGACAGAATCTGTGTTTTGGAACAATGACTCAAGAAAGAAATGGGAAAGCTGCTTTTAGAGGTTTACAGCTATAATCCCAGAAGTTGGAAGGTAGAGGAAAGAGAATCCAGAGTTTAAAGCCAGCCTGGGGTACATAGGAAGACCCTATCTCAAACACATAAAGAAAGAAGTGGAATCTCCTGCCATTCAGCCAGTTCTATAGTACATAATTACCAAATTATAACAAATAGGACTCACTAGGAGATAAAACATAAGTAAATTTATATGTGAGGGGAACAACACCATCAATACTAATAAGGAGTTGCAATTCATAGTGGACTTAACAATGTGACATGTGTTATAATAGCGGCTTTGCATGAAATAAGCTCAGTGAATCTTCCCTATGATATTATCCCCATAATATGGATCCAGAATCAGGTAAGAAAACTAGTTCTTAAATGTATGAACACAATCTCCCATAGAACTCATAGAACTAGGAAATAAGATATCTAGGAGCAAATTCAGATTTGCTTGACTCTGCATTCTTCATTGTGACTCCAACTGTCTCTCTAATCCTAAGAATGGAAACCAGTCCTAGAAGGGCTGTATTACTTGCCGAGTCCACTATCAGTAATGTCAATACATTATCTTAATCCTCATTTTAACCCTGGAAGGCAGCATTATGATCCTATTTTAGAAAAGAAGAAACAAATCCAAAAGACCAGGTAACTGGCAGCCATCTACAGTATTACCAAGTCTGTGGCAGGTCTGGGGTTTGAATCCAGGTCTATCATAAAATGACAGCAAATACTCCACTTAGCCTACTGGGAGGTGCCCAGCAGCTGTCAAGTGGACTTCCTCTCTGAGCCCAGCAGGAGAGAGCCCAAGGCTGGCCTGGCCAGTCAGACAGCTATTAAGACACATGCCATCTGAGAGTGGGCCAACCACCCTCCACCTAGAACGAGAATAGCCCTGAGAAACTCTTAAGCCGGATCTGAAGCTGGGTCTTTTTTTGGATGCTAGAACAAAACATTAAAACGAAAAGTTTTCTTGGAAGTTTGTCTTTCAATCTGGAAAATGCAATTTGGCTACTTTTAAAGGACAATCTGTCCAACTGCTACCTCTACATCAAAGCTTCTCAGGAGCCTTCAGGAGCCTGTCCAATTTCCTCAGAGAGGGAATCAGTTCTCAGGCTGGAAAGTACAGACAGACAGATAGGCCAACAGCTGGACCTAGGTCACAAATTTGGCCTTCCGGGGGTCAGCTCAGGGCTGAGCATGAGAAAAGAGCTGGCATATGAAGGAGTCCCTGCTACCCACAAGGATCAGAATAGAAACCTACACAATAAGGCCCTCAAAAAAATAATAAAACCAACAAATGTTGACTATGAGAAACAGAAAAAAACACAACAGATTCTTTACCTCGGTGAAGTGTATTTACATAGTTCAAAGTTAAAACCTGCAATAGTCTTTTGCCATGACCACACTCTTGTTCCAGTGCTCATTTGGTGCATTATTTTTTGAGGATAGGCACTTTCTCAACACCGAATTTGATCAAATTAATTTATTATTGTGATTTTAATATGGTTTCAATCAAAACCTTTACTCCTTACTTGTTACACAACTCTGGACCAAGTTACTTAGCCTTTAAGTGGCTTGGTTTTTTCTCTGAATAAATGAGAGAATAAGACTGCTTACATTATATAATTTTTGTGAAGATTAAGTGAGATAAAGCCTATAAAATGCTTAGCAAAATGGCTAGCATTTAATAGGTACTCAAACTTTTCAGTGAATTATTTAAATTTTAGGATTTAAGTTACTTTATGAGTTATTTAAGATTGTATCATATGAGGCAACAGCTTTAATGATTGTCTACCTTTGCTCCAAAGTGCTCTTCAAGGTAGAACTCATCTCCAAAGGACCAGTCAGCAAATGACTGGGTCCACAGTGGGCATACTAATTTATGACGGACACAAAGAGATCATCAAAGCATCTTAGGAACAACAGGTGCTGATTAAAGTATCTTTCTTACAAGATCTATGAACACTTTGACTCTAAAATGATGGTCTATAACTTTGGCATTTTGTTCAAGAGGCTGATAAGTACAACATACTGTGAGTATACAAGTAACTCATATACCATTTTTGGGAAATGGTACCAGCCTCACTTTTGCTGGGGAAAGATGACACTGGTCAGGTGCTTGAGGCTTGCTATCCCCAGGACTATTAACAGTCAAGCCCTACAATATAAATATCCAAGCAAGCAATGTCCACTTTCAAATATGATCATGGGAAGATCCCTCTCTCTCTCTCTTTCACACACACACACACACACACACACACACACACACACACACACTTTTCTTTTCCAACTGTATCCGACATCTCTTTAGTATCCAAGTCACAAGAAAATTGGTATCATTACTGTATTTTTTAAAAAATCTTTTGCCAACCCCCCTCCCACACAGTACTTTCCAAAGTTGCTTCTTTTTATTCACTAGTTACACTTCAGTTTGATTTTAAAACTTACTACGCTCAAGTGACAAGGATGGGTCGTAATGAAGCATAATAAAAAAAATCTGAAGTAAGTGTGGTATCACACTTCATTTACATTTAAGGACAATGCTAGGACAAATACACTAATACACACACACACCATAGTATGTATAGACATCAGTTTATAATACTTATATATTATCTCACAGAAGGAATTCTCATATAACAAAGCACACAAATACTAACATGATTGCAATTTCAAATCTACAGTTACATTCAATTATGGGCAATATGCTACAGTGGGGAAATCCCTAGATTTTAAGCCAGACAACACAGGTGCAAGGCTTGGCTAAGTAATCCTGAAAAAGTCACTTAGTCTCGTTTAAGCCTCAACTGTTTTTGAAAACAAAACAAAAATAAACAATAATAAAAGCCCTCCCATCCCATAACATTTGTAACTCTTAAAAGGATCAAGTATAAAAGCATATTACCCAAATGTGAGTTATGAGTATTATAATTTCTTTTAGTTATACAACCAGCTTTGAGCTGAAACATGATATATGTTAAAGACTTAATTAAATACTTCTTGCTATATGATACAATAATATTAACTTAAAAACCTTCCATAATAAAGTGGGCTTGGCATGTGGGACAGTGGTAGAGCACTTACTAGTAAGAGGCTCTAAGATCTAGCCCCAGTATCAACAAAAATAAAATACTTAGAAGTTAGCTAAGACAACTATAGCTAGCAAACATTCTTTCAAAATAATTACAATAAATGTCTGGGTTATTTACTAAATAGGATATTACAAATATCTGAGGGTAAAGTTGTTATTAAAATGACCCAATTTAGCTGGGCCCTGGTGGCTCACACATGTAATCCTAGCTGCTCAGGAGGCTGAGATCTGAGGATCGTGGTCAAGCCAGCTCAGCTAGAAAAATCTGAGACTTTCATCCCCAAAAAACTATTCAGAAAAAGCTCGTGTTATAGCTCAAGTGGCAGAGTGCTAGCCTTGAGGACAAAGAGGCTCCTTAGGGACAGCACCCAGGCCAAGTTCAAGCCCTAGGACAAGCAAAAATAAATAAAGACAGACCTGATTTATAAAAATCTGATAGAGGGGCTGGGAAGGTGGCTCAGTGGTAGAGTGCTTGCTTTGCATGCATGAGGCCCTAGGTTCGATTCCTCAGCACCACATAAGCAGAAAAAGCCAGAAGTGGGGCTGAGGCTCAAGTGGTAGAGCACTAGTCTACAGCTGAAGAGCTGAGGGACAGCGCCCAGGCCCAGAGTTCAAGCCCCATGACCAAAAAAAAAAAAATCTGATAGAGGGCTGGGAAGGTGGCTCAGTGGTAAAGTGCTTGCCTTGTATGCATGAGGCCCTGGGTTCGATTCCTCAGCACCACATAAGAAGAAAAAGCCAGAAGTGGCGCTGTGGCTCAAGTGGTAGAGTGCTAACTAGCCTTGAGCTGAAGAGCTGAGGGACAGCGCCCAGGCCCAGAGTTCAGGCCCCACAAACGACCAAAAAAAAAAAAATCTGACAGAATATACTTGAGTACATAAATTCAAGAAAACACTTAAGGGGGGGAGGGGGGGAATGGAGGGGATATGGGTGGGGGGCAGGATATGGGAAGGGATAGGAAGGGGAAACAGAGGAAGCAACAATGCTTGATAAGAAATGTACTCATTGTCTTGCCCATGTAATTATAATTCCTCTGTACAGGATTTTCATAATTAAAAAATTAAAAAAAGAAAACACTTAAAAACAGCTTTTAATTTTAATAATTTATTCATCATGTAGAAAAAGTCTATTTCGGAGCAGGGGGAGGATGGGAAGGGATGGGAAGGGGGAAACAAAGGAGGAGGCTACAATGCTTGATAAGAAATGTATTCATTGTCTTGTCCATGTAATTGTAACCCTTCTGTACAGTATTTTCACAATAAAAAAAAATATTAAGTGAAAAAAAAAAAAGAAAAAGAAAAAATCTATTTCTCATTTTGGACTAATTTTTCCCAAAATGAGAAGAGAGCTCATAAAGAAGCAGGAAAGTTTTCTTTCCTGGTTATAATTAAGAAATAAAAAATACACAATAAAATGGAATTATAATTTAGTATGGTATTTTTTTTTTTTTGGTTGGTCATGGGGCTTGAACTCTGGGCCTGGGTGCTGTCCCTGAGCTCTTCAGCTCAAGGCTAGCGCTCTACCACTTGAGCCACAATGCCCAGCTTAATATGGCATTTTCTAACATCAACAGTACTACTAACGTTCTAGTCTCAGTCTGCTTCCAGAGTGAAATAACAAGCAGAGCACCAGTGGCTCACACCTGTAATCCTAGCTACTCAGGAGACTGAGAGCTGAGGATTGTGGTTCAAAACCAGTCAGAGTAGAAAAGTCCCTGAGGTTCTAATCTCCAATTAACCAGCAGAAAACTGGAAGTGGAGCTGTGGCTTAAAGTGGCAGAATGCTAGCCTTGAGCAAAAGAGCTCAAGGACAGCGCCCAGGCACTGACCAAAAAAAGAAAGACTAAAATAATAAAACAATTTGTATTTGATTTCTAAAATCCAGAAACTACCCAATAATAAAAGCAACATCCAATTTTCTTCATTGTTGCTATAACTATGTGAAAATATCTGTCTGGGAACAATACCAGTATATAAACCTATTAGATGTTGGCTGCTTCAAGGATATATGATTACTGCCGTGCAAGTGCAGAATGAATCGATTCCAATTAATATAATCAACTACTACTAGTGGTGGTCTAAAATCTTTTTTTTTTTTTTTTGGGGGGGGGGGGGTCCAGTCATGGGGCCTGAACTCTGGGCCTGGGTGCTGTCCTTCAGCTCTTTAGCTCAAGGCTAGCGCTCTACCACTTAAGCCACAGCACCACTTCCGGCTTTTTTTCTTTTTGCTTATGTGGTGCTGAGGAATCGAACCCAGGGCCTCATGCATGCAAGGCAAGCCCTCTACCACTGAGCCACCTTCCCAGCCCATGGTCTAAAAACTTTTGACAGTAACTTACCAATGATAAATAAAATTAAATGATGTTTCTGATTCAACATTCCTTTCTTTAATAGGAAGAAGGCTTATTTCAGGATTATCTAAAACAATTAAAAACTACAAATCTTAAAAAAGGAATGCCTGGCAAAAAGTCCATATCAAAACGCTAAGCAAAGCCAGGCGCCAGTGGCTCACACCTGTAATCCTAGCTACTCAGGAGGCTGAGATCAAGGCTGGGAAGTTGGCTCAATGGTAGAGCGCTTGCCTTGCATGCCTGAGGCCCTGGGTTTGATTCCTCAGCATCACATAAGCAAAAAGAAAAAAGCTGGAAGTGGTGCTGTGGCTCAAGTGGTGGAGCGCTAGCCTTGAGCTGAAGAGCTGAAGAGCCTTGAGCACCCAGGCCCAGAGTTCAGGCCCCCCGACCAGACCCCTCCCCCCTAAATAAAAAAAAAAAGAGTCTCAGGAGGCTGAGATCTTAGTATCTTGGTTCAAAGCCAGCCTGGATAGGAAAGTCCATGAGACTCATCTCCAATAAACCACCAGAAAACTGGAAGTGGCACTGTGGCTCAAGTGGTAGAGCGCTAGCCTTGAGCTGAAAAGCTGAGGGATAGCGCCCAGGCCCAGAGTTCAAGCCCTACAACTGACCCCTCCCCCCCCAAAAAAATGCTAAGCAAAACATTGCAAATGTGAAATAGGTCTTGTTTACTAAAGTGCATGTGCACATAATATAATGTCAGAGTAGTAAATTGGTTAAACTTCAACATGACATAGGATTCTTTGGAGGGTTTTCCTACTAAAAGAAAAGAAAAAAAAAGCTCATTTACATTTGTTCAGGATAAATAAAAAGTAGATTCATTTTCCTTTTCAGAACTAGCAGAGAGTAACTTACTTAGAAAGAATTCCTCGAAGTCAGTTTTCTCCACACAGCTAGTATACATGCGCAGGGCTGCAATCTTAATCTTCTAGACAAAGAGAATAAAACCAAACTCAAGACATGATCAAGTAGATGTTCTAATGTCATTAGACATGAGTCCCAGAATCCTACATTTTTTCAGGATCCAAACCTATCTCTAGGCCATTTAAATTAACACAGATATTTGGCCATTTTTTTTAAGCTACCAATATCACACATTGTTCACATTTTAGGATTTCAGCATGAAAAGGTAAAAGAGGTTTTTCTTTTCTCTCTCTATCTCTCTCCTACCTCTTTCTCTCCCTCTTTTTTTTCTCTCTCTGTGATTATATGTATGTGCCAGTAGTGAAGCTTGACTTCTTAATGAGCTTTTTGCAATCAAGGCTGGTATTCTACCACTTGAACCATACTTCCACTTCCAGGTTCCAGCTTTTTGCTGGTTAACAGTCAAGGATTTGTCTGTCCAGGCTGGCTTTGAACCAAGAATTTCGTATCTCAGCCTCCTATGTGGCTAAGATTGTAGGGATGAGCAACAGCACCTGGCTCAGAGGTTTTCTTAATTTTGAAATTAAATCTTTTCCTCAACTCCAACTCAATTTATCACATTTCAACTTCTCTATATTATTCACCATTATCCATACTAACTCTATATTCTGAAATCCTTTATATTAAGAAAATCACCAACAATTTATAGCTCAAGTGGTAGAACACCTACCCTAGTAAGCATGAGGCTCTGAGTTCAAATCTTAGTATTTTCCAAAAAATTTATTCACTGTTCTTATAGAAATTAATCTAATAAAAACTTTCAAGCCTAAATCTTTCTTTAGAGGTTCTACAAACTAACAATGATTCTTTTGAAGGGAAGAGGCACTTGTCTATGTTTTTCTATATTTTCTTTAACTTTAACAGATTGCAGATGAACAGAACAAGAACACTGTGTGTGTAAACAAAAGTTTCTAATGAATATATAGAAGCAGAGCCAGGCATGGTAGAACATGTCTGCAATCTAAGCTTAGCATTCAAGAAGCAGTGGTAGGAAGGTCAAGAATTTGAAACTAGCCTGAACTATATAGTAAGACCTTGTCTCAAAAAAAGTAGCAAGCTCAACCTTTTATTCTTTCCAAGGCACCAGGAATTCTCTTGGAATCTTGATATACCACATACTAATTTACCTAACTGCCTCTGTGTGTGTATGTGTGTGTACATACACCAGGCCTAGGACTTGAAGTCAAGGCCTGGGTGCTATCCCTGAGATTTTTTCCCCCCACTTAGGGCTAGCAGTCTATCACTTGAGCAACAGCTCCACTTTTAGCTTTTTTGGAAGTTAATGGGAGATAAAGAGTCTCACAAATTTTCCTGCCCAGACTGGCTTCAAACCTCAATCACCAGATCTCAGCCTCCTGAGTAATTAGGATTACAGCTGTGAGCCACTAGCTCCTAGCTACAAATTATATTTTAATAAAAATAAATTTAATAAGTTCTATAATTCTGAAGACCAAATCACACCAGAACAAGTATTTCAAGGACTTTCAAAATATTTCAAACAAGTTACAACTAAGTAAATTAGCATATCAACAAAAGATTTATAGCTTATCTTTCATAAAATGATAGGAAAATTTACAAACATGCTATAAACAAATACTATGTCATAGCAATTGATGAAACCAATGTAGAATTTAGTAGTTCAAAGTCATAAGGAATGTTATATAATGTTTGTGCATATCTATACTCTCTAGAGGCAAAAATAACAGTGCCTCTGATAAGCAGAAATATCTACAATAAAGAAGGATTTTAGCCGGCTGCCAGGGGCTCACGCCTGTAATCTTAGCCACTCAGAAGGCTGAGATCTGAGGATCGTGGTTCAAAGGCTGAGATCTGAGGATCGTGGTTCAAAGCCAGCCCAGGCAGGAAAGTCTGTGAAACTCTTATCTCCTATAATTCACTAGAAAACCCAAAGTAGTGTTGTAGCAAGTGGCAGAGTGCTCGCCTTCAGCTGAAGAGCTCAGGGACAGTGCCCAGGCCCAGAGTTCAAACCCCACAACCAACAACAACAACAACAACATCAACAAAAGATTTTATCTCTGACTATATGTAATTAAGATTTGCTAATTTATCTGTTATATCCCCAAAGTTTTTTGCTCCCACAGAGAACAAAACAATATATCTAATCAGACATGCCTACCAGGAATTTATCAGCACTTAGAAGCCCACCTTTAGAGGTAGGATATAGCTCAGTGGCAAAGTGCTTGCCTAGCAAGTACAAGGTCCTGAGTTCAATCCCTAGTACCAAGAAGAAAAGACAGAAAAAAAAAAAAAAAAGAGGAGGAGGAGGAGGAGGAGAAGAAGGAGAGGAAGAAAAAGCAGTGGGCTGGGAAGGTGGCTCAGTGGTAGAGCACTTGCCTTGCATGCCTGAGGCCCTGGGTTCGATTCCTCAGCACCACATAAGCAAAAAGAAAAAAGCTGGAAGTGGTGTTGTGGCTCAAGAGGTAGAGCGCTAGCCTTGAGCTGAAGAGCTGAGGGACAGCGCTAAGGCCCAGAGCTCAGGCCCCATGACCGGACCAAAAAAAAAAGAAGAAGCAGCAGTTAGCAGGAGCATTAGCACAACAGTCTACCTTTAAACATAACTGGTAAAATACTAGAAATGAAAACCAAATTATTTGGATTGGACACATGGTTCAAATGGTAGAGTGTCAGCTGGGAGCAAAAAGCCAAGTATAAAAGAGTAGAAATCTATGACAATGAAGAGAAAAATAAAAGTAAGTGAAAGGTGGTTCTTTTAAAATATCATTAAATTGGTCAGACTGAACAAGAAAAACGAAACAGAAGACAGGATTCAAATTAATGATATTGGTATCAGAGATAGGATATCACTCCATATTCTAAAGATTCTAATAAAATAATAAATATTATAAGCAACTTTGGCCAATGAACGTGATTAGATTAAGGGAACAAACTCTTTGAAAGACATACTAGGATAAATAAATGCACAGCCCTGTATCTATTAAAGAAACTGGTGGGGACAGGGGACAGGGAACTGTGAGAGAGCGAGGGAAGGGGTGACATTGTCCAAAAAAGAAATGTGCTCATTATCTGACTTATGTAACTGCAACCCCTCTGTGTATCACCTTTATAACAAAAAGAAATTTTTCAAAAAAAAAAAGAAATTGGATTTGTGAATTTGTGATTGAGAACTTTTCTACAAAAAAAACCTGCAGATCCATATGGCATCACTAGAGAATTCTACCAAACATTTAAAGAAACAACACCAAATTTACACAAATTCTTCCAGAAAATCAGAGAAAAAAACTTTATAATACATTCTATGAGGTCAGTGTTATCCCTGATTCAAAACCAGTCATCAGAACGAACCAAAACTTCAGAACCATAACTTTCATACTCACAGATGTAAACCTTCCTAATAAAAGGTAAACAAATAGAGCCGGGCGCTGGTGGCTCACGCCTGTAATCCTAGCTACTCAGGAGGCTGAGATCTGAGGATCACGGTTCAAAGCCAGCCCGGGCAGGAGAGACCGTGAGACTCCTATCTCCAATAAACCACCACAAAACCGGAAGTGGCGCTGTAGCTCAAGTGGTAGAGCGCTCGCCTTGAGCTGAAGAGCTGAGGGACAGCGCCCAGGCCCAGAGTTCAAGCCCCATGACGGACAAAAAAAAAAAAAAAAAAAAAAGGTAAACAAATAGAATCCACCAATACTTAAGAATATAGGCTGATCAATTAGGATTTATTCAGAAAATAGATTCAACAGTAACAAATCAGTGATTTACCATAATCAACACGAGGAGAAAAGGGAGGAGGTGGGAGGGTCCAGTCGTGGGGCCTGAACCCTGGGCCTGGGCGCTGTCCCTCAGCTCTTCAGCTCAAGGCTAGCACTCTACCACTTGAGCCACAGCGCCACTTCCGGCTTTTTTTTTCTGCTTATGTGGTGCTAAGGAATCGAACCCAGGGCCTCATGCATGCAAGGCAAGCGCTCTACCACTGAGCCACCTTCCCAGCCCAAGAGACATGTTTTAATTCTGCTAACACCTGTAGTTCTTAAAACTACTTAACCCCAGAACATATTTCAGAAAGCACTGATCCATACCATCATCAACCTAATGGTATCATTATCCTAATGTTTTGGCCTTGGAAAGTCTATTCTTATACTCAAGACAAAGAAATTTAAGACACTTCACATCTCTTTACTTTATCTGACAAAAAATTTACTGAGTGCCAAAACTCAATGCCTGGTATTGATCTAGATGCTGAGAGATCAACAAAATAGACAAAAATTCCTGCCTTCAGGGAGCTTATAGCACAGTCCAACTAAAGACAATTTTAAAATTAAAACTGAAATTCCTAACTGCTTATTTCCCAACTTGTCCTTTATCCTGTAGTTGCCTTCAGGTTCCTCTGTATAAACAAGGTCCTCTAGGGTCAAATCACCCAGCCCTCACAAAGGCAGACCTGCCTCTTCTAATGCCCAAGTTTTGCCTCAAGTAGAAGTTTTCCCCACAAATATGTTCGTGAAAAAGCATTCATTATAAATAATGAAGACTTTCCTCAGATTGGCTGGTGTATTTGTACAGTGCTCATACTGTGGCAATCAGGAGCATTTTATAGTTCTTCACTTTTCCTGAAGCAAAGCCAAACCTTTATACTTGGGTGAGCCATTTTCCTGGACAAATCTATAAAGCAAGTCCCAGAAGACCATCACATAGAGACTGGAAATAACAACTGGAAAGAATCTCTTTGAGAATCGTGCATTAATATAAGTTAAGTAGGGAGATGGACTAAGTTTCCACCCAGTCAATACAAGTTGTTCTGGTCCTTGGATAACTTCATGTTTATTTCACTCTAACTTGGGAAGACTTCATCAGGCCACTTAACTATAAAATCGAAGCACCTAGGACTATCCTCCCTCCAACTGATGCATTCTGTGCCCTCTTACAAGAGAAAAACAAATTAGTAATGGGCTTGCCTAACAGCTGTGTGAGAGTTAGTAGGGGCTTTTTTGTCATTTGAACCTTCCATTCTGTACTAGAATTCTTTCT